GTCACCTCCAGATATTAATTCCAGTACTATCATTATCTATGTACACATTAATAAATATTAAAGAGTACAATCATTAGTAATGCTACAGACTCACAGGATGTCCAATGGTGACCACTCCATGAAGTTTAACAACATTAGGATGATGAAATTGACCCATAATGGCTGCCTCTTGTAGAAACTTTACTCTCTCATCCTCTGAAGTATTATCATTAAATGTTTTAATAGCAACAGACACTGATCCAGCAGTAGGTGTAGTCCATACTCCTTTATTAACTGTACCAAACTGTCCTGATCCTAAATAATCTGTTACTCTATTGGAGTGAGAATGTACATATTCATGAAGCCATACATTATACTGTTGACATGCATGCACCACATCTAATAGGTCAAGAGTGCATGTTTAATGTTTACCATACACTGCCTTTCCCACTCACATACTTGTATGGCTTGTTTACACAGTACCGTATAGCTGGTTTATTTCGTGTGGAATTAATTTTCGTGCAGGCTCAAATCCACTAAAATTAATTCCACTAAATTTTATTAAAACCAATTAAATATTAACAAAAATTTAGCAAGGCACTAAAATTAATTCTAATGAAAATTTAAGCAGCAAAAATTTGAGGCCACAAAATAAACCAGCTATACGGTATTAAATTAAGCCATACTGCCATAAGCATCAATAGCTTACACTTTTAATGTCTAGCTCTTACTTTATCTGGTGCCTTATAATTTCTCTGTATTTCCTATCAGATAATTGTTGGTATATACCATCAGTATTACTATCAGGTTCCCAGTACTCAGTATCTTCTATAAAGAATGAAGTACCACCAGTATGATCAAGTGTTGAATATGCAGATGAATACTATGCCATAAAAATATCAATTATAATTACTATAATTACATGACACAGTCAATACCTGTTCATGTATCAGTGCAGAATAGATTTCTTCACTTTGTTCTCCAGAACGTTCTAACTATTAACAACATTAATTGAAACATAATTATTAAAAGATATTCAGTACATACTGCAGTGGGTACATATAGTGTTGCTTCATCTAATAGTCCATACAGTTCATTAGAAAATTCAATATCCTGTTAGGAAAGCACAAAACATAAACTGAAAGTGTTTGTTAATCATGTTTGTGGAGATTAATATTTACGTCACTTATGTTCTAAAAGTAATTTATGTCATGCATATGAATGTTGATTAAAATCATGTTTATCATTCTTCATTCTATTGTGTATTGGTTACATATAAAAATAATGATTACATTTTGTTTCTCAGTTAGAGTTGCTATTGGTTCTTCATATAATAATGCAGGACTACCTAAATAATCAATGAAACCCATAATGCATTACTTATTCTATTAAAACATGCTCTACTTCTTTCATTGGGATCTTCATAATTTGGATTACTGACATCAATCATTGTCCCACTATGAACTATTGTATCACCATAAACTGCTTCTATTCCTTTCATAACTGGCATTGGCACTTCATAAACATCAGCTGCACCTGTTTATAAGGGGAGAGAATAGAAAGTTTATAAAGAGATAGAATGATTTCTGTTTGTCTCTAGAGCAAATATAAATTAACAAGTGTGCATGCTCATTAAATAATAGTAATTATGCATGAAAAATAATATGTAATAATTTTTATTGTACCTTTTGCTTGGTAATTTGGATTACACATATCATGTATCTCATTTTCTCCTTTTCCATTTGGAGTGACATCAGAATAAACAGAACTAGCAAGAAAAGCATCACCCCCTTCAGGAATACGTGTTGCTTTATTCACTTTATTTCTTCTTTTATATACTATTACTATCAATATTAATATCACTATGATACTAATTATCAGTAATACTAATATGGTAATAGCAACAGCAGCTATCATTGAAGCTGTTACCACTTCCTGTATTGCCAATTGTTGGTCCAATACTTTGTGTGACAGATGAATCAGTAATAGATGATGGTGGAGGGGTACTAATGACACCAACTGAGGCAGTGCTTAACAAAGTATTGGTAGTGCTTAACAAAGTATTGGTAGTGCTTAATAAGGTAGTGTCATGTAAGCTGGTGAATGAGTTTGGAATGTAGTTATTGGTCATTAAAGTGGAGGAGGATTGTAATATGGTCATTGTAGCAACAGTATCCATTTCTTTAATAAAAGTTGTGGAAGTGACTGAAGAAATTGGGTCTATAATAGAAACAATAAACATCACAATATAAAGATATACTCACTTATTATAACTGATATCAGTGGATAGTCATTATGCTCCAATGGTATTAATCCATTACTGCTATTAAGCTCATAATTCAATGGTCCATTGTATTGTTGATAATACATTGGATTACTATTAGTGGTTACATTGATTACTAATATATCTCCATACTCTACTTCAATATCACTTGTAAAGTTATATACATTACCATTACTTGATGTAGCAGCAGAAGCATCAACAGTTAGTGCATGAATCAGTTCAGAAGAACGTTTTAAATAAATGTTAGGATAATGTTTGCTTGTATCCTGATTCTGTGTAATACCAATTATCCATTTAGTAATAATACCATTACATGTGAACTGTATATCAGGAAAAGCTCTTGTATCAGTGACTGGTATTACATTAGTAACTGATAGACTGTTTGTATTAATTTCAGTTTCAGTGAAAATATTCTCAAAGCAGTTCAGGGGATCTAAAAGAATAAATAGAATTGTTTTTATTATAAATAAGATGCGGCTACCTACCTGTTTTGAGATATACCATAAAAATATTTGTTACACCAGTATTAAAATCAATTTCTCTACCCCGACCAGATGTTCTGATATTTGATTCACTAATGGAGTCTGCTCTTATTCTTCCAACTGTTTCTGAGCTGCTAGCTGTTGCTCTGTATAATCGAACAACACTTGAATCATCTTCAGGTTGATACGCTCCTAGTCTGTAATTATCATAATTACTGCCACTGACACTAAAAGGAGTAGGAAGAACATAACGATATAATCCATTAGTAGTGACATTATCAGGAGACAGTACAATAGGAATAGTGATAGAGCTCTGGTAGGAAGAACTACCATCATATAGCCATATGTCAACGCTAGGATACTTGTTCTTATTTCCATATTCTGATCTGATATCAACTCCAAAAAGAACTTCTGTTACAGCAGCAGAAGTGCAATTGAATGAATTGCCACCACCAATGACCCATCTTCTGGCATTGCTGTCAGAAAAAGGATTGACAGTTGACGGAGTAGCAGGAACTGATTTAGCTACTAGTAGACTCAAGTCCATGAATCCTTCAGTACATACTCCTCCTCCTCCTGTTGCTGCCTCATTAAGCAATAATATCATAAGGACAGCCAGTGAAAGAGAGAGCGAATGAGCCATTGCTTGAGTCAGTACTAAAATTAATTACTAAAATTAGATCTAAAACCACACCTATAATTAAATCTAACACCTCATAATAAATAGAGTCTATGCACGTGATATCACGTGTCTAATGACAAATGCATACTGTATGGTGAGTGATTTTGGAGGACTTCACTTCCGGGGCTTAATCGGTCATTTGGCCTGCCATTTTTGTATCAGACATTTTTTATATAGATTTTTAACAATTAAAGGGTATTAGGGTGATAAATATAATAATAATACGAAGTAGTGATGACCTGTTTTCAATTTAAGATACAAGAGAGAAAGAGTGAGTTTCAAAAAGCAGCGAATGGACCCATTGGTTGATTGAAGAGGAATAAAATCAATTTTGAGGTCTATGCATGTTTACTGTGAGTTACTTTTAAGGGTGCCTCCAGCATCAGAAGTTGTGGGTGCATGAGTGCAGGCTGCTCTAGCATAATAATGGATGCATTTGCTATTATTATCATCAACAGATTGACTCAGTCAGGTGGTGCATTTTATTCAATTATGGGTGCCAATGCACTCACATGCACCCCCATAACAACACCCCTGGTTACTTCGTATATACATTTGTAAGTGTGTAACATTTCACACGGACTATAATTGTAATTGGTCTATAAAACAATAATAATTATTGTTAACTTCACACATTAATTGTTGATGATGCACTATACACAATGTCTTTATAACTGTCTATATGCTTTATTCTTTGCTAATGTAATCTGTCTAAAATAAGAATTGCTATCATTAAAATTGTTATCATTGTTAGAATTGTTATCATAATTATGATTAATTTAAAATTAATCATCATTTCAAAGTCAAGAATGCTTTGATATTTAACACCACCTAACAGTTAGTGAGATTCACAAATCCAAATATTCATACATTATAATGATCTGTACTATTGCCTCAAACTCTCAAAGCAAAAGTCTTACTCAAAAGTTGCCATGAATGTGAACATTAGAAATATTATATCCTACTGCATATTGATATTAGCAGTAAAAGTGAACTTGACTATAGCATCAACAAAATATGATATTCAAATTTCTTTGCTTGTGATCATATGCAACAGCACAACCAAGCTATTCATGTACACCATGCAGGCTTCAGCCACTCTTAGATCTATAATGTAATGTACTTATGATACCATGCATGCATTATAGCATAGATATATAATTATAGTAGCTAGCTACCTGTCAGAATTAACAACATGTGGTCATAACCTCTGTACTATGTATAAACAGACTATAATAGTGCAGAAGCCTACATTACACACATTCCCACAGTGCATGTATGAAATGGTATATTTTCTTCAGTATTTATGCAACAGTAAGTTTATATTTCAAAATTATATAATATAAAGTGTAATAAAGTATAGAGCAGTTAAAAATACAAATGCATTACTCAAAAACTGTAATACATTTATAAATGAGGGAGGAACTGAACATTTAATCACTCACTGAAACTGTTAATATAAAAAATAATTAAAAGAAAGAGTGGGAAGAATCAATGAGAGGTTAAAAAATACAACATGCAAATTTTACTTTTTGTACATGTACTGTAAGTCAGTGTAGAGGGAGTGGCTTGTTTCTAAAGCTCCACCCAGTACAGTAACAGGATCCTCTTTATTAATCATTAGTAATTGTTTATCAGGTGAGGATAGACTTGATGATATATCTGAGAAACTTGGACGATTATAAGTATCAGGATTCCTATAAATGGGAAAATAACAATAACACTATTGCTTATTATTGTGGATCACAATAATAGTATATAGTGCCTATATAATGTAGCATCTTAGCTTAGCCATTAGATCTTAGTAATTATTACAAAACATGTTTGTCATACCCTAGCTGTACTATAGCCCATGGTTTTTTTCCAAAAATTGGCTCTAAAATCAACCCAAATTTTTATTACATTTTCCAATACATATTGATGTCCTTATGCTGTGTAGAAAGTTTGAGGTAATTCAGACTTCAATTTTTCAAGTTACAGCCATTTTAAGAAAATGCCAAAATTCTGAAAAATACCCAAGGCTAAAGCCCATGGTTTTTTCCAAAAAATGGCTCCAAAATCAACCCAAATTTTTATTACATTTTCCAGTACATATTGATGTTCTTATGCTGTGTAGAAAGTTTGAGCTGATTCCGCCTTCAATTTTTCAAGTTACGGCCATTTTAAGAAAACACCAAAATTCTAAAAAATACCCAAGGCTATAGCCCATGTGAAAAGGGAACAGAGCCCTCAAAAATTTATTATAAAAGGGTAGAAATAAACATGTAGGTTAAGGAAAAGAGAAGAAAAAAAAGCAAAGTTAAAGATAGGTTAAGGTAACGATAGGTACAAATTAAGAATGATAAAGAAAATAATAAATAATAATAATAATAATAATAATAAAATGATAAAAATAATAATGGAATAAAACTGGTTTTTTTCAAAAAATGGCTCCAAAATCAACCCAAATTTTTATTACATTTTCTGATACATATTGATGTCCTTATACTGTGTAGAAAGTTTAAGTTGATTCCGACTTCAATTTTTCAAGTTACGGCCATTTTAATAAAACGCTAAAATTCTGAAAAATACCCAAGGCTATAGCCCATGGTTTTTTCAAAAAATGGCTCCAAAATCAACCCAAATTTTTATTACATCTTTTGATACATATTGATGTCCTTATGCTGTGTAGAAAGTTTGAGCTGATTCCGACTTCAATTTTTCAAGTTACGGCCATTTTAATAAAACGCTAAAATTCTGAAAAATACCCAAGGCTATAGCCCATGGTTTTTTCTAAAAAATGGCTCCAAAATCACCCAAATTTTTTATTACATTTTTTGATACACATTGATGTCCTTATGCTCTTTAGAAAATTTGATCTGATTCCGACTAATATTTTTTGAGTTATAACCATTTTTTACATGATAGCTCAACATAACCAATAATTGTTATC